AAGCACTAAAAACTTTAATTGTACTTCAAGAATTATAGAATTACTAAAATACCCTTTAAGGTTATTTTTGTAATTTGGTATTTTCAAAGTTGAATTTTTATGAAGACTTCTTAGTCATGATTTTGTAATATTTGATAATTTTTTATGCATTAAAAACCCAGATCACACCCTAAGAAGTGTAAAATTACTAAAATACACTTAGGGATATTTTCATAAATTGACCTTTTTGAGGTTAGTTTTTTGTAAAAAGCTCCAGATCATTTTTTAATAATATTTAATGATTTTTGAAATATTGAAACCTTGATCATACTTCGAAAGGTATAAAATCACTAAAATACCTTTTAAGGTATTTTTGTAATTTGACATTCTTGATGTTGGTTTTTCATGAAATGTTTCAAATCATGTTTTTAAATTATTTGATGATTTTTTATGTATTAGAAACCATGGCAACACCTTAGGAGATGTGAAATTACTAAAATATCCTTTAAGAGTAATTTTGTAATTTGACCTTCATGAGATTGATTTTCATGAAAAATTTTAAATCTTAATTTTATATTATTTCATGACTTTTGGTGTTTTAAAATCATAGAAATGAATAAAGGAGTATTATTTTCCAAGAACATGGCCTAGAAATCAAAAACTTTCTAATGAGGCTAAAATAGTCTTTTCATTTTGTTTAAACAACATTAAAAATTCAACCATCGACAGTGAGCATCCTAAACCATATGATCATCTTAGAAAGCTAAATCCAATAATAAAAGATGGCTCCTTGCAAAGGAGAAAAGGGATAAATATGGACCATTAGATGCACCTTTAATTCAAGGGCCAAGATTCAATTTTAAGAGATATTTTTTTATGCTCATTTGAGTAAAAAAAGGGGACATTGAAGAGAATAAGGGAAAAAAGGCTGAAAACACAAAAAAAAAAAAAAAAGAGAAGAAGAAAAAAAGAAATGTGAAAAAAAAAGAGAAAAAAAAAGAGAAAGAAAAGTTAGAAAAAGCTTAAATAAGGTATAATCTCCATTTTCTTTTCTTGCATTCCATTATACCTTTATCTCATTTTCATAACATTTTTACATTGGTTCTTCATTCATTTTTCTATTTTTCTTTTGAAAAATTTGTAATTCTTTTTCTTTTTTTTTTTTTATCAAAGCTTGAATCAAAATTTAGCTTAAAGAATGTATAATCTCTATTTTCTTTTCTTGCATTTCATTACACCTTTATCTCATTTTCATAACATTTTTATATTGGTTATTCATTCATTTTTCTATTTTTCTTTTGAGAAATTTGTAGTTCTTTTTCTTTTTTTTTTTTTTTATCACAACTTGAATCAAATTTTATCTAACTAGTTCATAGTTTGGATTGAAGTTAGATAACCAACAATAAAAAATTCAATGCCACCATTGATACCATTTTGGGGTTTGGCCAACCTCCACTTAACCACGATCAAACCTCATTTTGGTTTTTCTTTATTGATTTATTTGCTTTCAAATGTTATCTATGACAATTAAATGATGAGTTTGCTTATGTTTTGCATAAATTTTGATCAATTAGTGATATATGTTGATGTTTGTTTCATGTTCTAGTTTTTCATGGATTCCTTGCTATTTTAGTTTGCTATATATTTAACAAAATTCTTCATTTGACTAAAATGCCTTCAAGTGATGAATATTATGATGTTCAATGCATACTTGAGTGATATGGAATGAAAATATGATTGTGTAAGTGCCATGGGACATTTGGCCTAGGTAGTTCCATGCTTGACCAAAACTTTTTCTTCATTTTGTGGCCAAATGTTGCTTGATTCCATGTGTTTGACTATATTTTTGCTATGTTTTTCAATAGATAAAATGTTAGTTTAATAAATTGTTTGGTGATTTTTGGTGTTCATTTGGTTGATTTTTAAAAAAGAAAAATGGTGGAACATGTTTTTCGAAGTTTGAAAAATTTTAATATTTGATTCATTTTTCTCATATTTTCACATGCACATCTTATTTGTGATTTAGTTTTATCAATGTCTAGATTTATAATTAGTTTGTTCTCTTGTCATGCATATGTTACATGCATCAAATATTTATATTTTTAACAATGGATTATTGTAATTTGTTTTGGTCACATGCATTTTCCCATGAAACCCTAAATTTAAAACCCTAAAACCATAAACCTTAAACATTAAACCTTAAACCCTAAACCTAAGCCTTAAATTTTAAACCCTAAATCCTAAAACTTAAACCTTAAACTATAGATCCTAAACCCTAAATTCTAAACCTTGAACCTTAAATCTTAAACTTTAACCTAGACCCTAAACTAACCTAAACCCTAAACCATCCCTTAAACCATAAAGACTCAAACCAACCCCCAAACCTTAAAACCAACCTTTGCCCCTCATTCATGCATTTGCATTTGCATTTCATTTTGTTACATGTATCCTTAAACTGTCCTGCATTCATGCCATGTCATTCATATTATGTATTCATTATACATTATGTTTATGCATATCACGCATTTGTTTTTAAAAATGAGTTTTCAAAGTAAAATATTTTTAAATAAGATAATATCTTAAGTAAATATAGTCATTGAAATCTAGCCTAAATATAGGGGTATTCTTGATGATTATTATATATGCGAGGTATTATCTCAATTTTATGGGATAATTTGAAAACTCTTAAGTTAAAGATATTTTTAAGCTCTATCTAAATGAAGGAGAGTGAAAAATGTATCTTGATACTTAAGTTGTTTTCATTTTGATCTAGAAATAAAATATTTTATTTTCAAAAATTGATTTATGTAAAAAAAATTAAAATTTTCTTATGAATTAAAAAAATGCAATTAATTTCTAAACACTAAAATAGGACCATTTTTAACCAAAGTTTAAAGATAACATGCTATTAATTAGTACCGTCTTCAATGGGCGCTGTGAGGATACTAATTCTTCCCTGAGTGTAATCAACTTTCGAATCCTAAATCTAATTTCGCAAACCTCAATTTTTTTTTATAAAACTTTTAAAATCTTTTAAATGTTTTATTAAAAAGAAAAAAATATTTTTGGATGGCCAATCACACTCTAAAAAAGATTGGTGACAACTTTTTGTTTTGACTTATATCAAAAATGCTTTTTAAAGCCCCTATTTTTTCTCATTCTTATTCGTTCGGTGCTCGAGTCACCATCTCCGATTATGAAACATCACGACAAGTATTAAGTAAAGATATTTTACGTTTTATTTTAATTTTGTTATGAGCAATAACATCAACTACATTTTTTATGCTCAAAATGCCATCTTTGTTAAAATTTTAGAATTTTGAAAATAAAATTTCAGCATCCATTATGTTTTTATCTTAAAAATATGATCTTTGTTAAAATTCTAGAATTTTGAAAATAAAATTTCAATATCCACTACATATTTTTATGTTTAAAACGTGATTTTTCTTAAAATTTTAGAATTTCAAAAATAAAGTTTTCACATTCATTACGTTTATTATGCTAAAAATGCGACCTTTGTTAAAATTTCATAATTTCAAAAATAAATTTTCAACATCCATTACGCTACTCAATGCAGTCTTTGTTTTCAAAATTTTGAAAATAAAGTTTCAACATCCATTTCATTTTTTATCCTAAAAATACAGTCTTTGTTAAAATTTTAGAATTTTGAGAAAAAAATTTCAACATCCAATTTATTTGTTATGCTTAAAACGTGATCTTTGTTAAAATTTTAAAATTTTGAAAATAAAGTTTCAATATCTACTATCTTTTCTATCTTAAAAATGTGATATTTGTTAAAATTTATTAAATTTAAAAATAGTTCAACATTCACTACAGTTGTCATTCTCAAAATGTGGTTTTTGTTAAAATTTCATAATTTTGAAAATAAAGTTTCAACATTCTCTACGTTTTTAATGCTCAAAATGCAGTATTTATTAAAATTTCATAATTTCAAAATTAAAATTTCAACATCCACTATGTTTCTTATCTTAAAAATATGATATTTTTGTTAAAATTTCCAATTTTTGAAAATAAAATTTAAACATCTATTACATTTCTTATTTAAAAAAATGTGGTCTTTATTAAATTATAGAATTTTGATAATAAAATTTCAATATCAATTGTTTCTTATCTTAAAAATGTGGTTTTTGTTAAAATTTAAAATTTTGAAAATATAATTCATATTTCAAATCTCAATACAATTAATATTTAAAATAATTTTTATTTCAAATAATTTAATATTATTATATTTTTAATTTCAAGTAATTTAATATTATTTTTAAAAAATACATATGTTAACAATTATTATATTTTTATTAAATAAATTCAAATCAATTGTACAAATTAAATATAAATTTAAACCTAATGAATAAAAAGTCAATACAAATAAAAACTAAATTAATTATATATTTTCTTAAATACAAAATTTAAACATGGTCATTTTCAGGTGTCAAAGACGAGACTTGAAATGTTTTGTGCATGTCAGTTTGCATTTTGGTTTATCATGCAATTTTTTTTTTTATTAAAAGGGAAAATAAACTATAAAAATAATTTTTCCAGGACAAAAAAAGATAAATTTTATATTCTATCAAATATTTTAAAAAATCTCAAAAAAAAAAAAGATTTATGATTCAGGGTGTTTTTCCTTTTCTTAACACTATTAGAAATCTTAAAAAACCTTAAGGAATTAAATTATGGGAACCAAACATAAGAATCATATTATAAAAAGTAAAATTTTTGGAAGAAAACTTATTTTCTCTTAAACCAAACGCTCTCTTATTGTATATATTAATTTTTACTTTCAAGAAGAAAAAAAAGTGTATAAGCTTTTATTCATCCAAACAGGCATAAATTTTAGATAGTTGATATTTTATTCATCCAAACTGTTTAAAAAAAAAAGACATAAAGGCTTGTCAATAAAGGAAAAAAAAGTTTCAATAAAAGAAGAAACACTAAAAATTTCCTGAATTTTGCAAAAGCTGAAATTGAATCTCTATCTTTTAGGGGAAGTAAGTGCTTCTTGATTGTTATCTACTATGCTTGTTTTTTACTAGGCATATAAATGATGGAGAATTGAGAAAATAAAGCCTAATCAATTAAATATTTACACTTGTACCATACAGTTCTACAGAAACAAGTTCCTGTTCAATGCAATAACAAATGACTGACAATCATGAGATAAGAGCAGGAAAAATTGCAGGGAATGAATCCGTTTCTTCATGATACCGTATCTAACATCATCATGCACACACCCTACATCTTGAAAATCGGTCTACAGTGCTCCACGCTAATCAAAAGAAGATATATTTACAGCATCAGTGTTCCGACTCTGGAGTCGGGGTGGGGGGGATCGATCATCTTTCATTCTGTGACTGTGAGCTATGTCTTGAAGTCCAGTACTTTTCGATCTCCTCTGCTGTCCTTCCGGGGATTCTCCCAGCAATCAGAGACCACCTGATGCATGTAAACAAACCAAAATATTACTACATTTTTTCACTTTTGGGGAGTTAGAACAGATCCTGTTTGTTTTTATCACATGAATAAAGTGATAAAATACAAAAAACAACTGAGGTTTTTGTCACATGAAGGAAAGATCCTTAGGATGATAAAAGAAGTGATACAGCTGAGAATAATGAGGTTGAAGAATATTGTTTTTGATAATGTAAATAAAGATTTATGCATGAAATGGAGTTTAAGAAGGGATATATTTGTATAGAAGTAAGAGTGGCTGATGGAGTTATATGAGTTGTACATTGTTAGCAGTGAATTACTATGGGTAATAAAATTACAAATTATAAAAAAAAAAAAAAAAAGACAGAAACAACTAGTGTAGTAAACCTCGCTCCGACCAACTTAAACATTCTGGCAATGAGCATCTCCTCATCCTCAGAGAATTCCACCTTAGTATCCTCACGTCTCTCCTCTGCAACAGGACAGGCAATACTATTACATGAGAATAAACAGGAAAAAGAAGTAGCAAATGGATTTTAATTGAGATGGTCAAAGTTCAATAAGGAACCTTTCAGCGTCGAGGCTTGACTTCTATGCCCATTACTAGAGCTAGGATTCAAGTCACCCATGATTTCCCCACAAAAAAAGCCGGCGCAGGCTCCATGGTGATCAGAGTATTCAGTATTTATGCAGTGAAATTAGACTGTTGGATAGGTGGTTGGGAAAAGAAAAAGAAATCAAATAGAGAAGACTGTTAGTTCCTTGGATTTGATAAGTTGTTGAGGTTCCACCGATTGTTGGTTTGGACTTTTGTGTCTAAAAGAACAAAACTAAAACAACTGCGTTGCGCTGCTGCTGATTCTTTTTGCCCCTGCTAAAGACTATCAGTCAAATCCGTTTTACATCATTTTCTGCAATATGTTCTCGACGATTAAATTTAGCACTGGGAAAACGACATGCACGTCACTGTTGAATGAGGTCGCTCCCAAAATCTTCTTCATATAAAAGTAGACCAGATAAGTACGAGTTACGAATAGTCGAATCCTTGACGGAGCAAAGACTGAACCAAAAGCTTCAAGTTTTTTTTAAGTAATAAATAATTCTTAAATCAGTGACAAGTAGAAATTTTTATGTTTAAATTTTATTTGTATGTAAATTTGATTTAATTTTATATTCAATTTATTTTATTATATTATAATATGTTTAAAAACTATAATTCTGATGAAATTAAGGTAACCTTTTGATTAAGGTTATAAAATTTTTATTATAGTTAAAATAATAAAAAATTTTAAAATTTTATCATTTTATTTAAATAAATATTTATATTTTTATTGTATTTAATTAAATTTTTAAATTTTATTTTGCACTTAAATAAGTTTTTAATCTACTTTTGTATCCAAAAAAACTTTAATCTTTAATTTATAATTTTGTACCTAAATAAGCATTTATAATATATTAATCTTTTTTTTAAACAAAAACTTCCTTAAATACAAATTAAATAATAAAAATTTATTTGATTATAATAAAAATATAAAAATTTATTTAAGAAAAATGAAATAATTAACAGGTTTTTAAAAATAATTTAGGTTTTAATTATTCTTTAAAAAAAAAAGGGCCTTTCATTGTTCAAGTAATTTTATTATTGATGATTGAAATCAGATTAACAATAATTAATATTCATCTTCCGTTCTTTTTTACAAATCGTCATCAAAGACAAGTCCCTGATTTTCATCTACCGTACGAGGAAAACGACGCCGTTACCTGGATCCTTTCGTCGGATAACAGAGGGTTAAACAAGTTTCCGTCTTTCGCGCCCCAAATTCCCAAATTCTTTCACACCACCGATTCAGTTTGTTGGAACGAGCTTGATTCTCCTCTTTCCTTTTCGTTCTTTGGAATGATTTGTTTTTATTTTCACTTTTAAATTGTTTCAGCGGAATGTTCAGCGGTTTTTAATCTTCTAAATTCATTCTTTTTATTAAATTCTCTCGGAAGCTAGGGTTCTTGGTGATTTATGTACTATGCAGTTAAATTAGTATTTGAAATTGATGTTATTAAATCTTAACCAAGGCTATGTTTAGATAAATATTAATAAAAAAATATTTTTAAAAATAACATATAATTCTTATTTAAATAATTAAAATTAATAAAAAAAATTTTTAACAATTATTATTTAAATAAAAAATTAAAAAAATATTTATTATAATAATTTTTTTCAATTATAATTTTTTATTATCTATAATTTTAAAGTATTTTTAGATTATAATATATTTATTATCTTATTTGACTTCGTAATTGATGTTATATTAATAATTTTTAATCAAATGAAATTAAAAGATATTTTATAAATATGTATTGATGAATTTTGAATTAATCTAATATTTCTTAAATATAAAAAATATATTTATTTATATTCAATCATTCATCAAAATTAAATCACCAAAAAATTATAAAAAATTTTTATATTAAAAAATATATATGAAACTTACTTCAAAAAATAACTTTAAAAAAATTATAAAATAATTGTGAACTATTTAATTTTTTAATTAAATTTTTAATATTAATAAAAAGATAAACATAATGATTTTTTTATAAGAAAAATTTTTTTCAACATTTTTTTTCTTAATTTTTCCTTCAAATTAGAGTATTAAAAAAAATCAAATTTACAAAAAAAAATTATTTGATTTTTATCTTTTTTTTTAATTAAATATTTATAAAAAAATTTTTTGTTTTCTTTATTATTATTATTTTTTCTTTCTTCTCCCTTCAATCTAATCACACTGTAAAGGCCAATGCTTTCACTTTGTTAAAATGAAGTTTGAAGTTTGAAAGAAACGAAGGGACAAAGTGTTGTTTGGGAAAAGAGATTTTTAAATTGAAATTCTCCATTTTGTTCAAGCAACTGTCTCTTTCACCAATGATAACAACTTTTGCAGGCCTGGACTTTGAACCAGGTTTTGACTCAGTTAGCCCAGGGCCTTCCCAACTTAATGGAGGCCGCTTACCTAGGCCATGGGCCTTATTGATTACCTTACGTATATTAGATTTTGAAATAGTGCGCTTTCAATTTACAAACACATCGGAAAGCCTTATTTTCACTTCCATGGCCTCTGAACATTGCCCACCAAGTGCTCGATCATTGTACAGTAGGAGAAGACGGTAATCTCAGCAAATGGCTAATAGCAAATACGAATACGTTAAGTCCTTTGAGGTTGAAGACGAAGTAATGCCACCCAATCTGATCGTCGTTCGAATCGACGGACGCGATTTTCGTAGGTAAATAAATTAATGCTGATTTTTACACATTTTCTACACATTTAATTCTAATTTTTTTCTTTCTTTTTTGGCAGATTTTCTGAAGTTCATGAGTTTGAGAAACCGAATGATGAGAAAGCCTTAAATTTGATGAACCAATGTGCAATGGCCGTTTTAGAGGAGTATCCTGATATTGTCTTTTCTTATGGATATAGCGATGAGTACAGGTAATCGAATTGTGAGTTTGATATTTAGATGTTACCCAAACTTCGTTTAATTCTCTTCTTTGGTTTTTTTTTTTTTTTTTTACAGTTTTGTTTTGAAGAAGACATCGAAATTCTACCAGAGGCGAAGCAGGTTTTATTTTATTCTGCATATTCAGTATTTTCTCCTAGAGCTAGACAAGTTTAGGTGATTTTCTTTTGTTTTTGAAATGTATACTGAATTACTGAGCCTTTGCAACTTGGCAATGAATATGCAGCAAGATCTCTTCGGTCATTGTGTCATTCTTTTCTTCTGTATATGTCACAAAATGGAAAGAATTCTTTCCCCATAAGGAGTTGAGATATCCACCTTCATTTCGTTCACGGATTGTATCTTGTGCATTGCTAGAGGTTCTTCAAACATATCTTGCATGGAGACAAAAAGATTGTAAGTGATGATATTCCACTGCTTCTAAACAAAGACAAACTTCCTAGAAACAAATGACAAGTTTTGCAACATACATCAATTGGAATCTATCACATTTCTTTTTCGGGCTTTGGCAGGTCATGTTCAAAATCAGTATAATACTTGTTTTTGGGAGCTTGTAACAAAAGGTGGAAAGACTGAAATAGAAGCACAAGAAATTTTGAAGGTGCTAAACTGCTAATGAATGTATCTGCATTTAGCTTAGTTGCTGCATGTGTGTCTCCTTTTGTATTGTATGTTGCCTACATGTTTGTATGTTTGCTTTACCCACATTACTAGTTTATGGACACTGCTGCTCTTGATCTTAATCTATTTTCCGTTTTTTCTTTCTTTCTTTTTTAAGATAAAAATATCATTTCATGCATGCTCTGTTACCTTCAGCTTGGATGTTGATACATCCTTCTGATTGTCCACCATTGGACCTCTTATTTGTAATGCAGAGGTTCTTGTAGTTTTCAAGTTATGTAAGGTTGGATGTTCTTATGCTAAAACTCTAATCTTGTTATGTTGTATCTGTTGATTTTGCAGGATGCTAAAGAACAAGACAGAAATGAACTTCTCCATCAACAATTTGGTATTAACTACAATGATTGTCTTGCATTGTTTCGTCAGGGAACTTGTATTTTCAAGACTGAGGTTTTGTTTTCTCTTTTCAATAGGATATACTGGTCTAAATATTCTAAAGGTTTGATGTTTAGTTCCTAGGCTATTTGGCCTTGAGCAGCATGTGTTGCAGCCATATTTGAATCAATGATCGTATATTTCAAAAAGGTCTTGCCTGGATTGCTCATAGCCAAAGCACTCCACATAACTTTCAATAGCTTGGGACTGGTTAGCTTTGGACACAATACTTCTTAAAACAAAACCTTGCAATATTGTGAATTCTTTTCCCTTAAATTGTGTATCAAGTTTTCAAATTGAACATATATCACCTGGGGAGAGTTTGTAGATTCTGATGGTCTATCATCCTTTTTCCCCCTTTATTTTCTTTGATATGTGACATCTATTTGTCAACTGATATTATCTTCTTTACTTTGCTAAGGTGGAACATGTTGTGAAGTACAATGAGGATGGAACTCCAGTGAAGAGGTTGCGGAGAAAGCCAAGTATTTTCCACTCGGAAAATATAGCTGGGAGAAGCTTTTGGAATGAACATGCAAGTCTTCTTAAAGAGCTGAGAGGTTTCTCCGAGGACTGTTTCAAATTAAACCCTGATTACATCAGATCCTTTCTATTTGAGAGCAAGATGATGCCATCTATTTGGATTGTAATTAGAATAGATGGTTGCCATTTTCACAGGTAATATAAAACGGGTAAAGTTTTATGTTGTTTTAGTTCCTGATACTGTGTCCAGTGAGTTCGATATTTCTTCCCCTTGGCTCTCAATCAATGGAAAATTGTGGAATAACTGCACAATTTCACTTAAAAATGCTGAATTCTTTTGGAAACTCAAAGCTTCTTATGCATACAATATGATTTTAGTTATATCTTAGAAGCTAAATTATGGTCTTCGGTCGTTACCTTTTTCAGGACATCCATATGGGAATGCCAGTTTATTATTCTAGGTTTTCTCAATCTAGAATTTGAGCTCAAGTGTCTATTTCTCCTTTTATCATGTATGTTTTGAATGGGTATGACTCCTAAAACAGAGAATATGAGTTTTTGCATTGCTTACATTTCAAAGAAGGGGGAATCATGAAGTGCATGGGAGGTGTACAGTAACTATCCTTATTCTATTGAACAAATTAGACATCCAGAGACAATGCCATCCAAAATAATGTGATGCATAAAATTTTGTTTGATTACATTTGTATATGTGTTGAAACTTAACTCTGTTGTATGCCTTTTGGTAGATTTTCCGATATTCATGAATTTAATAAACCTAATGATAAGCAAGCTCTGGATCTTATGAATTTATGTGCGGTGGCTGTGTTAGAAGAATTTCAAGATATTATTTTCTCTTATGGAGTCAGTGATGAGTACAGGTAAATACATTTGCTTATACTGTTTGTTTACAAGTTTTTTGTTTCATCATACATAAATCATTTTTAGTTTTTTATGACTTTCAGCTTTGTTTTGAAGAAGGATTCTCAGCTCTATCAAAGGCGAGCCAG